CTGGGAATTAGAGCATCCATTTAGCAGCAGGTTTGCCTGATCAACTGTCTGGGGACTTCAAACACATCAGCAAAACTGCACAACTGCAGAGGTGCCTTTGCAGCCTCGGTGCTCGGCTGAGAAGCTTCACAGAAGACCAGAAGATGAAGAGGGAGAGAGCAAGTCGAGTGTGCACCTGGTTCCAGGCAAGCTGCCTGCTGTCCTTGCTGCCTGCTAAGCCCAGACCTGTTAGGCCACCTCTGCCTCACCTCCAGTGCTTGACTCTGCACCTGCTGCTGGCTCCAGTTCAATGCTTTCCAGGCCAGGTCACTGCTTTTGGAGCGGGCAGAGTCTGAGGAACTCGTGCTGTCAGACAGAGACCACCAACACCTTTAGCAGGGGGCAGACACAAGCACCTCCATCAGCTAATCTGATCAGCAAGAGCATTCCCAAAACACGTGGAGCAACCTGGATAACACACCCTAATAACAGCAGCAGCATTTGTGCAAAGCATGGCCCTGGTCTTTCTGCCACTCACCTGCCAGGATGTGCCCCACAGCTCAGGGAGCTCCCAGGCCTGTATTTCCATGAGCTTTCCAAGAAACTCTTTGCAAAGCTTGGGGAATTTGGGGATGTGTCCACGTCTGGAGACTCCACAATGCAGGAAAAGGGCAGGGAGGCCCCTGCAGCAGGAGCACGCTCTGGCCAGGAGGATATTTAAGTCTGCCTGGGTGTCTGGGACACACACATGACAGGAGTAGTTTGGACAGGCACACAGGACTGGTGACAGATCAGACATCCTCTGCTGGGACTACAAAAACCCTCAGCATTTTAATTACCAAATTATTTCATCCATCCTTTGCTGTGTACTTATCCCTACGGAGCAAAATATGTTAAATGTAACATTTTGTCTTCCCAAGGAGTACATGGAAATCTGTCAAAACGGTGGCTGACAGCCTTTCAACTCCTCACTGGGAATGGGGACAGCACAGGCCAGGAAAAAAACCTTTTTGATTTCATGCATCTTGAAAACACAGACAGAAACATTTCAGAAATGAACTGCAACAAAGTACCTTGTGCAAGAATCCCAATAACCATATTATCTGCTGAATAACAAATGAAAACAAAAATGAAAATAAATAAAAAAACGAAACCATGCAGTCAGTCATTTCAAAGAACTGCATCTGTCATTAAAATAAATGAACTAACCAGTTGGTGCTTGTCCAGAAAGAGAGAGCTATTTAACAGAATCCCAGAACAGTTTGATTTGGAAGGAACCCTAAAAATCATCTCCTTCCAACCCTTATGGGCTCAGAAGCTCAGCCCCTCAGTCTGAACACAGCTCTGCTGATTGCAGAGACACCAGACAGAAACCAGAGAGCAAAACAAGATTAGAGCTCAGCGAGATGGTGAATCCAAATAAACAAGACATTTTGAACTATTTCCAGCATGACTTCAGCACAAAATAACATTTGCACGTCAATGTAATAGTTGATGTTTTAACTGCACGCTAAGGGAACAGTCACGTACAGCATCAGCTGCTCAGCCTTCAAAGGGAGCAAAAAGAGCTGCAAAAGAGCTGTGCTGTAGTTCAAAGCCTTTCAAACAAAGACTAAATTCATTTACATTCAATCCTCAAGCACTTGAACCCAAGTAGAGCACGGCCTGTCCCATCCCCAGACATCCTGGGGAGGTGACAGTGACACTTGAAAAGAGTCGGGATGGCACCAACCATCAAATCCCAGCTGAAGCCTCGTGTCTGCAGGACTCGGGAGTAAAAATGAAGCCAAGGCCAAAAGGAGCACAAGCCAAGAGGATGCAAAGCAAGAGGGAAAACCCATTTTGTCTTTGAAGCCCTGTGAGGACCGGTGAGCACACCCTGACGGGAAATCCTATCACTGGGGCCCCTAAGCCATGAATCAACCTCGGAGTCAGCCTGGGCAGCCTGGGGACAAAGGAACAATCATCTGCTAATTCGGGCGACAAAGATGGAAAGGGAAGGCTCCTTCTTCACGTTAAGGATTAATCATCAGCAGGTACAGCCTATTTGCTTTAAGTGCAGCCACTTCCTGCCAGCACATCCCTGCCTTTTCCAAGAAACAGGGGAGCAGCTCCGTGTCTGAAGGCAAATGAATCAGGAGACAAGACTGAAATGATCAACAGCACCCAGAACCAGCCAAGCTATTTAATAAGCAGCTAGGAAATGTACCAAAATCCAACACAATCAAATTGAACACAGGGAACACACAGTCTTTGCTCCAAAATTCCATTAGACTTTTAGGTTTGGGTAAGTGCCATGTCCAGTCCTTCCTGGGACACCTCCAGGGATGGGGACTCCACCACCTCCCTGGGCAGCCCCTGCCAAGGCCTGACAGCCTTTTCCAGGAAGAAATTCGTCCTGATGTCCAAGCTGAAGGCTGGTAGAGGAGTCCAACAGGAGCTGAGGAGGATGCCCATGGTTTCTCAGAGTGTGAGGATAAAGCCAGGAGCAGGTTGGCCAGGTGGTGCTGGAAAAGGTCTTCCCAGTTGTGTGCAGAGGGGGAATAAGGCAGTGCTTCCACTGGGATACTTCAACCTGTCCCCCCCAAGGGGCCTCCTCAGTCAGCAGCAGCTTCAAGCTCAGGTTTGAAGCTAAGCAAAGGTATCACTCAAAAAGTCAGTGTCACAATGAACTCGTGGCCTACAGGACACAGAAACACTCTGCAGTCACATTCAGTTCTGTACATGATTCATATATTCCCCCAAAGGTGTTTATCCATGCACAAGACAACACCCAGAAACCAGTCACCACTTTTAACAAGATTATTTGACATTTCCCAGGGCGCTGGTTTTTTGGTGGTAGTGGGTATTGAGGGTTTTTTTGGTGGTGATTTTTTTGTTCCTTTTCTTTTTAAACATCTGCTCTAGCCAACTGCTGCCCATTTAATTGGGAAATCTGACTACTGAGTAAGTCTGCACTGGAATTTACTTTTAACCATTCCAAGCCCTTGCTGCATTCACACACATTTCTACTTCTGCACAAGCAACTTAAGCACCAATACTTTCAAAAGACAGCACAAGCACCGAGGCCCTCTTCCTGTGGAGCTAAATTTGGGAGGTATAAGCACACCTGACTGTAACAAGATTAAACAAAAATCACTGAGACACAGGAACTGAGTTCCAGGCACAAACCACTGCTTTGCACTGCTCTGTCTGCCTTGCAGAGCCACTCTTACCCTGTGATTACACAGCAATCAGTGCCTGCTTTGCTCTCTGAGCCCTGGGTTTCTGCTTCAGAGCCACTGAAATTTAAGTTTTAAGAGAGAATTCAGCAAGCAGCTCTAGCAAGCACATTCTGTGCCAGGAGAAGGATGAGTATATTTATATAACAAAAGGCTTCCTGGATTATTTTAAGGCTCGAGTTTTGCAAAGCGAACAATTGAGGAAAGGGATGTTTTTCCTTTGTTTAAAAAAATAATACTCGTACCAAGAAGAAAGACAGAAAGAAAGGGAAAAAAAAAAAAGCCATTGAAAAGGCAGCAGTGTCTTGATATTCTACAACCCAACAACACAGACCCCACAACATTCACTTGGAATCTTTTCCAGAGCAGCCTCTTGCACTGCACCTGTTGATGTTCAACCCCAATTAAACCTGCATTAAACTTTAAGTAACAGATCACTCCATTATTCACCATGTCTGTGTGTTGGTGCAGAACCAACACAGTGACAGGAGCTTCTGGTGTCTGCTAAAAGCATCTTCTGCTCTTAATACTGATGTAGCTGAAGGAGGGTGGGGAAAACACGAATTCTGCATGACTGCTTAAAACAAGCCTAAATATCACAGTTTGTCTTGAACCACTATGACACAGGTGCAGCTTTCAGGAAGCAACAGCTCCAAAAACCTGCTCAGACCAATTCACCTGACCTGCAACATGCAAAAAAACCCAGTTCCCTCAATTTTAGTGGCGCTGATGTTCAGCCACAGAATTTTGCTCATTATTTTTGGTGGTATTTCTGTGGAAAAGCCACTCAACATCTTGATTAATCAACCCGTGAGATCCAGATACATGGAGCCCTGGGACAGCCACAGGAGAGGGGCTAAAACCAACTTTTCCAAAAAACAAATTTGCTCAGGGCACCACAGGAAAAAAAAAAAAAAAACCCACAACTGCATCAGGAAGAATCACAACTGAAAGCTGCTTTTCTGCTCTGTCTCTCAGCACAGCCTCTCAGAATCAGCCAGTTCAGGTTTATTAATATTCCAAAACCTCGGGGGAAAAGGCAACAGCTTTCCCAACTAGGAATGGGAGGCACAAGGGACTTTGTTCACTCAGTGTGCTGGTCACTGGGGCTACACACAAACCAATAACAGCTTTTAAAACACATTCCTCCTCAAAATTTCTATGCCCAGTAGCTCCACTTTTATTTCCTGATTTTTACTACAGCTCTTCAATTGGTCACGGGGCTTTCCCAGCAAGGATCAAACCCAACAAAACCACGACAAATCTTATGAGGTGCCTTTCAGAAAATCCTCACACAGCTTCAAAGGATTATTAAAAGAGAAAAACATAACTACATGCAGCAAGAAAGGGCATACACCCCATTTATTTTATCTTTGCAGGTCATTCAGCTACGTCAAAGCCAGACCTGGGAATGGCAAACAGGTATTCCAGCCACCAGTCTGGTTCTCTATCCAGTATATCACTCCAGTTTCAACAGCCAGAGGGGCAAAGATTTCCTTAGAAGTAGGGTTTGGGGAGCATTTATCCACACCCTACATCTTCTCAAGTTTTGCTCTTAGTTATCTTTACCTGGAAGCAGGAAAAAGGAACCAATCTAAGTGATCTTTCCATTGCCTTTCCCTAAGATTTTACAATTTAATACCAGAGTGTGACAGCCTGTGTCATATCCAAAGGGAAATGGATATCTGCCCACCCAAACCCAAACCAAGAACTTGCCCAAACTCAGGTCACAGCAAACAAAGTACTGAACAAACACACCAAAAACACACGTGCTTGAAAATGCAAAGCTCATTGACTCACCTGGAATTGCTTTTCTGCCCAGGGCACTCGATGCATCAGGTCAGAAGCTCATTGTGAACGTGAGAGTCGAAGCTCAGGAGACCTGCTGCTGGCTGCTTCTCCCAGAGGCACGAGAGTCACTGTTAAAAACCCCAAACAAATAAAAATAAGGACATGTTAGGAAGCAGAGTTGGCAGCAAGCCTTCATTAAAGCATCAGCAGTTGTCACAGTGTGAAGATGACTTCGAGGTCCACTGATAGCTGGGATATACAGGAAAGACCACGGATGGTTTGGGTTGGAAGGGATTTTAAAGATCATCCAGCTCCAACCCTGCAAAGACACCTTCCACTAGACCAGGTTTGCTTCAAGTCCCATCCAACCTGGCCTTGAGCACCTCCAGAGAAAGACATAATTTTAAAAATAGTATTTCCCAAAGGACTACCCAGTAAGAAAGAAGATCCTTGTGTCCAAACAGGCCTACAAGCAGCTTTCTTTGGGTCTGAAGGAGGGCTGAGGTGCTTCTCATTCCACTCAGTGGCATCCACTACTCTCCACACGCACCAACCTTCCCACAGAAGTCTGTCTTGGATATGGGTTCATTTTCCTGCCAGCCTGCACCTGGCAAGAGTGGTTTGGATGAAGCACCACCCCGGGAACAACGTGGGAAATGGAGCTGTAGGAAACGGGCCACTGACCCCCTGATGTGGCCCAGGGGCACCATGGAGCAGAACCACCTACAACATCCAGAGCACCTTCTCCTTCACTAAAGGAACAACCCAGCAGAACTCCTGGGACACACATTGCCCCAGGGAGCACTAACTGAAGGAATAAACCTCAAGGTGTGTTTGAAGGGAGCTGGTGAAGTCACCCTGGCTCTGAACACAAGATGTTTTGCTGACAAATAAGCTGATGCAGGGGGAGTGAAGGAGGAAGGTTGAAAGCCTTTCCTGACAGTCTTCAAGATAACCAAGATCATTCACAAGAGAGAAGAAGCACCTGCACAGAAGCAAAACCAAAAACTAAAAATCAAAATGCACAGGGCCAAAACCCTCAGGTGGCAGCACCCAGGGAACAGGTTTCCTTCCATCCCTGTTACCTCTTGCACAGCTAAACAGAGCCAGCAGCAGCACAAAAACCACTCCATCCTGCCACTGGGAAGCAAATCCACTCGCCATCCAACCCCTCCAGCTTCCAAGGGAGACAAAATCAGGACAGAAATTCAGAAAAGAACCAACCCCTTGCACTCTGTAGGGTTCTTCCAATTAAACCTTTACTTTCAGATAAGGGAAATCCAGAAGGTCTCCCTGCTCCATTCACATTAGCTAGAAAAGTGCAATTCATCCATTCCCATTCAAACCCTAGTTGGGGAGGGAGGGGGAATAAATAACTCTCATTGTGCTTGCTGAAACAGAACCCAATCCAAGTGAGTGGCTGCCAGGAAGCAGGCAGCTGGAAGCACGGCGGTCCTGCTTTCCCAGACTCCTTTTTAGCTATGTTTAGGATTAACTGGAAATTTGCTTTTGGGTTTTGCCCTGCAATCTTGCCTCATCTTCGAGATTAACCCACCCAAGTGCTTCGGGAAGGGTGACACCAGGTGCACCCCCCAGCCAGACAGCTCGTCTGTGCTCCAGGCTGGAAGTCAAACAGCTTTTGTCCACGGGGATGGAGCCAGGGCACACTGCCAGCGGATGAGCCGGGCACTGAGAGCCCTGCTGTCCTGCTGCAGCACTGCAGTAACACAGGCTAGTGTTGATAGAACCCAAGAGGAGTTACCCAGCCCATGAACACCCACCAGCAAGTCTTCAGGACACGGGGAGGCCCCGTTTCCATCAGTGACTGGCTCTTATCTCCCAACAGCAGCCGCCCTCCCGACGTGTTTTCGCGTCACGCTCGCTCACCCGCCAAGTTTCCCGAACCCCCAAAAAACCACCCACGTGCCAAGAGCGTGACCCAAGGGAAAACCAGCCTGCTGTAGCCCTCCCTGCACCCAGAGGGGATGCTCCAAACCCTGCATGCCCACTATTGTAAGGACAGTTCCCCCATTCCAAGAGACACCGGAGCACAAACTGGCGCTCAGACGTAAACACCCACCCGGGATGAGCGAGTCGTGAATCAGCTCGTGCTGCTGAGCACCACGAGATGCTCCACCCCAGCTGCAGCCTCTTCCTCTCCCTACAGAGCCACACAGACCCTGTAAGGACACGTTTCCTGCCACAGCCACAATTATTTCTGGGCCAGTTCGAAGCCAGCAGAAGGAATTCACGCTGACAGTTGGCTCTGGGTACTACCAGGGCTGTGTGGCAAGGTTTGATTAGAGCTCGTTCTTATCTTTCCTGTGGCATGCACAGCACTGCCTTGTATTATTTGACAAACTCTGACATTTGTTACATATTTCTCAGAAAATAAAAGGTCTGTCTTACCCAAATCAATGAGCCAAACTCCTCCATCCTGAGGAAGACCCTTCTGTTTGCACAGCACTGACTGCTGCTCTGCTGGGGTATGAGCTGCCAAGTTCAGGGCCCTGTTTCCTTAAACTGTTAATATCCTTGTGGAAATAGTTCAGTTTCTGGAGTTGCTAAGCAATCAGGAGCCAGAGCAGCACGAGAGAAACCCGGATCTATTTTAGCATCTAACGTGACAACGCTCAGCTCTGTCTGTGCCACCACTGGCTCTGACAGCCACAGGATTTCCTTCATGCAGAAGCACCAGCTAAGAAGAAATTCTGAAGGTTTTGATGCTATGAAGATTAATGACTGAAGTTACTTGCCAGCCTCGTTCTCTGTGTCACAACACAGCCAAGAACTACCAGTCAGTAGGACTCAAACACCCTCCAGAACATTGCTGGCTTAGTCACAAAATATTCACCATTTTACAACACCTGATCTAATAAACTCAGCCTGGAGCAGGCTCACAGTTGAAGCCGTATCTCTGACTAATGTATTTGAAGAGATTACAGCCAGTGGAAACCTGTAGGATTTCCAGAAAGAGCACATGATTCCTTTATTAATAAGTCAGATGTTTTCCAGGTGAATGCCACCCCCATACTATCCACGCAGAGTTACAAGCAAACCAACCATCCACATAGTTTAGGAGAGTTAAGTGGCCACATCTGAGTGCTGAGGGCCACTCTGGGAGACTTGACAGAAGTGAAACTCTCTCCCTGATGCTCTCTCTGTCTCCATCAGCACGGACATCTTTTCCTTCCCACTTCACACATTCTTTCAAGCAGCAACAGTAGGCTGCTGTCTTACTTTCTCACCCAGCACAACCAGCAAGGATCAGGAATGCCTGTGAAGGCTGGATTAACCAGCTCATGACTGCTTCTTTGACAAGGCACCTCGATGATGAGGGAGCATTTTCACCTCACACCCTGGCACAGAGTATTTCCACATTTCACCAGCTCTTTTTTTCCCCCCTCACCATGTTTGCTTTGCCTTTGCCAGACTAAAGTACTCCTTAAAATGCTCTGGAGAAATTCAACCTATATAGATCATTGTTCACCGAGCCAGTTCACTTGTGGCTTAAAGAAATCAAACTAATTGATTTAGAGAGACGTAAGGGATTTTGAGAGAACGCTCAGCCCATGTCTGAGATGTCACTTTAATCCTCACAGTTAATTCTTTAAGCATAGGAAGCCATTTAAATTTGTAATGCAGTTCTTACATAAAAAACCATCTCCACAGGCCTGCTAATCACGGAACTATCTTGCAAATTGATCCTAATCTACAGCTGCTTGTGTCTGCACTCTTCCTGTGGAGAACATAAAATCATGCAGCCAATGGACACGTGAAAGGGTCTGCAAGGAAACAGTGACCCTCATCTGGTTCAGGCACATCTGCAGGGAACCACTGAGCACCACTCTCCCCACCAGCTTTTGCTCTTATATTTGAGTGACTTCCATTTTGGAGTTTTGTTTTTAACTGTAAAAAAGCAGAATATTCTCAGCTCTCATTTCCAGTTTTGGAAGACTCGGAGACAATTCCCTCTGCCACACACACCACATTTTTAACCAGAGCCATCCCTTCCACCTTTCCTGCATGGAAAGCTGCTAGCAAACCTGCCAGCAAACTGCAAACTCATTCCTAGTGTCCCAAACTGTGATAAAACTCATCACCACAATCTACAGCAACACAATTACATGAATCAGCAAGATTTGTTCATGGGATTAGTTTTTGGTTGGTTGGTTTTGTAGGATCTGAGTGACCTGACCACACCTGACCTCTCCAGCAGGAGACTGAGCTTTTCCCTGCTTCCAAAATAATCATTCCTCTTCTCAGACCTCCTCCTCCCCACCTTCTTCTTGTTCATCCTTCCAAGAAAACACCTTGCAGGACACACTCCTCTCCACAAATCTGGCCCCAACACGAGACACTTGGAAACCTTTGCACGACACAGATTCCAGGACCCTGAGAAGTGACACACTGATATTTTCAACTGTCCCCAAAAGGTCAGATGCTCAGAATTTTCCAGATTAACCTGAACATACTCAGAAGAGGAAAAGCTTAGTTAATTCTGAAAAAGCAAGTTATGACTAGGCTAGAAAGCATTAATAATATGAAATACTGTGAGAAGTTGCAGTGTAAGATCCTTGCCAGGATATTTGCAGTCAGACCTATCTACATAAAAATCCAAGGTCTGATCACTTGGACACATTAGGGATAAGGAATGTAGGGTATGACCAGAGTACAGACCTTGGTGTGCTCTTGGAACAGGCAATGCCACCAGTGAAATTTCCTGGTGTTCACCACCAACAGAAACTACTTCAAGTTGCTTGTTACACTGCTTATTTTCACCCATCAAACTGGGGTTTGGCCTCTCATGGATCATCTTCCATTGGCTGGTCCCTATTCTGGCTTTGCAGGAGCTGGAGGAGAATGGGATGAAAGCTGAGGGCTCCGTGACAAGCACAGCCCACGTGCTTCTGCTCAAGGGATGGAGACAGGAATGGTTCACCTTGACCTGCAACACACCACACACCAGAATTCCCACTATATTTAAATACATGGCTTCACTCCCAAAAGCCTTCCTGTCAAATTATCCTCTGATTTGGAAACAAGCCACAGCAGTTTAAAGTCAGCTCTTCCCATTGTGCAAGTGTTTTGAAACAACAGGCACTCACCTCTGCCAGCCCCTGGAACAGGGAACAGCTGAGCCTAAGCCATTGCAAAGACAGAAATCCCAAGGATTGCTTGGGATTCACGGACCAGAGAGCTGAGAAACTGTATTTGTCAAATGTAAGATTTTTTTTTTTTTAGTTTTTAACATGAAGACAACCACAAGTATGAGATTTCACCAGGTGGAACACGATTCCTTCAGAGCAGGGGTGTGATGGCCTGGGAAAAAGGGGAGACCAGGACAGATGCAGATCCCAAAGGGAGGATGGGAAGAACAGAGAGACAGGAATTCATAAAAGAAGCTTCTCTGAGCTCTTAAAATATCATTCAATACTTTCCTCTTCTAAACAGAAGATTTGCAAGATAATTATACTGGTATCAGACCCAGGCATGCAGTGCTTGGGCAGCTGTTATATCTTAACCTTTTCCATTCACCTTCCTGCCCAAGAAAACTTCAAACACAGGCTAGAGACTGGGAAAAGGGAAGGCACCACTCCTGCAGCATCCCTGGGCTGGAATCAGCATATCCAAGACCAGGGATTACATTTCACAGGTTCCCTGTGGTGCTGCCATCACTCAACGAGAAGTCTGGCATTTCCCTCCACCATCACAACCCTCAAAGCCAGTCACCCCAAGCTTCAGGGCTTTTATTTTTATTATAACCACATTAAAAAAAAAATAATAAAAATAATTTAAAAAAATTTAAAACAAGCAAAAAAAGCCGCTACCCAAAAAAACAACCCTCAAAGCTGCTTTGCTACATCACTTATATCAACACTAAAAGCAGCTAAACTGCTCTGTATCTGTTTTCCTCCCTCAGCTCTCCCTCATTCCCAGACAGCAGGTTCCAATCCACAGGTTGGGAACGCTTTCCCCTCTGTAATAACACGTGGGAGATGTTTTAGAAACCCTTTACCGTGAAACAACAAACACCAGAAACGTGTTTTTCCTCTGGAAGCAAAGTTATACAGAAACAGACTTTATCTCAGCAGGTTCCTCTGATTTTCAATTCCTGAGGTTTTCGAGCACATTTCTAGGGGTTCCTACTTAACGACCCAGCAACATTCTGGGGAAACTGGGGGGAGAAAAAACTGCTGCAAACTGCTCCATAAATTAAACAAAAATACTCTGGTAATGGATGCCAGCAATTTTTCGTACAAGAAACGGCTTGGAATGTGATATGCCAATCAAAATGAACATTTAGATCTGACATGCTGCCCCACTGCATCCCACTCCTGACCCTGAGCTCTGTAGAGCTCCTTGTTCCCACTGCAGCATTCCCGGTGGCTGCATTCCACTGCCAGGGGAAAGGCTGCCTGTAAGCAGCTTATACAGATGCTCTGTTTATCCAAAAACATTTAAGCTCCAAGAAACATTAGAGCGAGACACAGATTTCAGCATTTGCACAGCAAAGAACTGCAACTCCTACAGATATTGCCAGAGACTTTCTTCCTTAAGGTCCTCCAGCTAGAAAGGACTATTTTGCTAAAGCAAAGCTACAGACAAAAAGCAAAGTGTACTCTCTAAGTGATGGGCTGCAAAGGGTTCTTACAGCAGAGCTGAATAAAGCAAAGGTGTCCTTTCACTCCTGCTCATTTGTTCAGAGCAGATCATGGATTATTCAGGAGGGATACCCAAAACTTACGGGGTCTTCCCCGGTAAGCAGGCTCGGAAAACTCCTGTGAAAGGGAATTTCCCCAGCAGCCTGTCCCACAATCCCCCTGGCAGCAGGGAAATGCAGCCAGCAGATCCCCTGCTCTGCTGGAGTCCTGCAGTCACACCCACCTTAAAACACAACTGTGTCCCAAGCACTTGTTGGTTAAGACAAGAGGAATTATCCACAGCCAAACAATCCCAGTTATCCCAAGGGTACAGAAGTGGAAGACAGGAATACTAAGATTGTTATTGCTTAAAAGTGGTAAAGGAACAGCTTGTTTTCCAGCTCATTTTTCTTCTCATTTGAAGACAGTGCTGCAGACATGATTCCTGCTTGAGGAGAGTAAATTAAACGTGCTGGACCCTCTTCCTAAGGCCAGGATACTGAGCTTGAGGAATTTTTTTGGAGGGGGTGGAGACAGTTACCTAGTTATCTCCCACTCTGCTGGTTCTGCAGCAGTTATCAATTAGTGCATCTTCCTGTCCTGTCTCCTTATCTGTCTCTGCAGGCTCAGCATGCCAGAGCTCCAGGTCCAGCTTTTCCTGGGATATGGTTTTGTTGTTATCTCCTGCCAGGAAATCCCCAACCAGAAGCTGGTTCTGCACCAGTCCCTCACTTCCATGAGCTGCCTAATCAATCAACTGACTTATCTCAAACTACACTGGGAAAGCAGAATTAACCAAATACAAACAGAAAAAAGCCACGGAGACCTTCACTTACTCCTGCTGCCTTCCAGGATGGAACATGCCTGGTGTGGTCAGAGACCTCAGACAAACAGAGCTGCAAGAAGTGAAACCCAGACAATCCAATACACCAAGAAAACTCCAAAGAAAGTAAAGTTGGAATAAACTTTGGTCAACTCCCTGCTTACCCTCCATGAGGTTAACTTCAGCCCTACAAGACTGTTTTTCAAGCCCAGCCTTGTGCAACACCCAAATATAAGATTACTAGGTGAGGCTCAAGAGTTTAAACAAAAGTAAGTAAACCTATCACAGGTCCCATGAAATAATGAGAAATAATCCCAGCTTGGATGTGAGAACACAAGTAATTTCAGTTCTTGCTTTAAAAAGCCAAAAAGTGCATTATTGCTCCGTATGGAAGAAGTGGCAAGATCAAGATGGGACCAAGGAGGGATTGTTGGGGTGTCCTGTGCAAGGCCAGGAGTTGGACTGACGATCCTTGTGGCTCCCTTCAACTCGGGATATTCCAAGATTTTAAACCAGACAGACTTTATTTTCCTGTTTTTAATTACACCAGGGAGGAAGGCAGTTACACCAGGCATATTAAGTGCCAAGACTCACTGTTCTGCCTAAATGCAACCCACAAACCCACCTGCAGCACTTCCTGAGGCAGGAGCTACAAAAGCAGCAAGTCACACAAGCTTTGCAAGTCTTAGACTAAGGGAAATTAAAAAAAAAAAAAAAAACAAAGAAAGAAAGAAAAGGACTGTACTGCACCTTTGAAAGCACAGGAGGGGCAGAGAGGCAGCCTTGTCACACAGCACCTCCAGCTTTCACAGGGCCCCAGAAACCTTGACAAATGAGATCTGTCTGTCTGCCTCCAAAGACACACAGTGAAGCAGTAGCAGAGCTGGAAAGAACTTCAGACTCAAAGCCCCAGAGATTTCAGTCCTGGCTGCCCAGTCAGTGCAAAGAGCAACAGGCAAAGCTGCCTTGTCCCCTTGGATTTACATGTCAGTACTAAAGCAGACAAAGTGACTTTCAGCCTCCCTGACAGACCAAACCACCACTGCCAGTGCTCTTCCAGTGGTTTAAACTGGTGACAGAACAGCTCCTGGCCACCTCACCAGAGACCCTGTCAAGTACTGCAGAAGAGGGCAGCACAGAAAATAAACCTATTCCCTTCACTTCCAGAGACTTACAAGGGTTATCCTCATCTCAGTGAAATTGTAACAACGTTTTGCCTCCTTCAAATACTTTTTTTTTTTTTTAATTTGGGGTCTGGTTTAAGAGCAGGCCAGAGAGCAGGGGAGCATTAGCTCAGTGTCAGCTGGGTGATGACAGCCTGCACCACTCAGGGTTTCACTGACCAGCAGAAATGCTCTCAGCACAGGGCAGACACACAGTAATGACACATGAAATCACTCCTGCTATCTCGTTTCCCACTCCTCTGCACAACACAGCTTATTTTTAGATTATAACCTCTGATGCAGGAGGGAAGCAAAAGATGGGCACAGGCACAACAGCTGCAAGCTAAGTCAGAAACACCAAGGAGGAGACATTTCCACTCCATGTTTTGTTACAATAGCTACCCCTTCACCTCACATTCAGCATTTCTGGAGTCACAGCAGCAAGATTTTTACTGGCACCTGGATGTCACCTTCACACCTGGTTTCCCCACAGTCACAAGCTGCTTACAAAGAGCCTGTCACCATCCCAAAAACTGCCTCCCCCAAAGGGAAGGTTCAGGTTGGCCATCAGGAGGAATTTCTTCATGGAAAGGACGATCAAATATTGGCAGGGGCTGCCCAGGGAGGTTTGGAGTGCCCAGCCCTGGAGGTGTCCCAGGAAGGCCTGGCCGTGGCACTCAGTGCTCTGGGCTGGGGGACAAGGGGGGCATCGGGCACAGGGGGGACTCAAGGATCTCAGAAGTCTTTTCCAACCTAAATGATTCTGTGATCCTCGTGAACCAGAGCAAACACTGCTTTTTTGCCTCTTGTTTCATAGGGAAAAACAGGATTGAACGAGCTGGGTCAGGTACAGAGGAGGAATTTTGAGCAGGTGACTCCTGAGCGGTGTGAGAATCTAGAAGTTAGTGAAGCTCTTTGGTAAGCTCCTTCCTCCCTTCTTTCATAGTGAGGTCTTTTATTTTTTTAGCATAGCAAGCACATCTCACAAACCTCTCACAGCCACTTAAAGGCAGGGTTTAGTGGAGCTGAAGTGAGGCAGCCTATCCATCAGCTATTTCCCTGAAATTTCAGCTGTTACACTGCAATTGTCTTCCCTCTTGCTTTTTGCTAATTCTGTCAGTGCCACAGCCATCCATGGGTAGCAGGAGGAAGGCAGATGAGCTCACCAGAGCAGCACAACCAGGTAATGGCCCAGTAATTCAATCCACACCGACCCTCTGGGAGTATTGGATTCCAAGCTGGGTCTGCTCAGGAGCTTTGGGACCCAGCTGAGGTGCAGCCTGCTCCCAAATTCCACAAACCAGGCCTATTCCTTGGGTCTCCAGAGGCCAAGCAGGCAGAGGCTCTGCTCTCAGTGTGCTGGAAGTGGTTTATTCCCTCTCAACTGTAAACCACAGCAATTCAGCAGCAAAGCCCCATCAGTGCACCCCAAAGTCCCTGCAGTCACCTGCCCCACACCCCAAATTCAGCAGGACTGTTCTTCTCCTGCAACACTGGCTTGAGCCTCCCGGGAAAAGAGATTCTTCCAGCCATTGCAACAGAGGAATAAATGAGACACTCGCACAGAAATGCACCGAGGGCAGAGAATTCAAGCTGGATTCGCACTTGACTAATTGGCTGAGAGTAAAAGTCAAGTTACAAGATGTACCTGTGCCAATCACGTGTGTTTAACTAGGAAAAAAACAAGTATAAAAGTGGCTAATGGGCAGCAGCTGCTCTGTATTAAACATCAATACGTGCCTAGTGTGATGCAAATTATCTTCAAATCTCAGGAAGATATTTTAAATGGGCTTAACACACCAACAAGCAGATGACTTGCTAAGTGCAGGGGGGAGTTGAGGGTCATCTCTGTTGGAGAGCAGCACGATGTGTCCATAAATAAAACTAACTCAAAACAAGGACAGCTGAGCCCTAAGGAAGCAAAACAAAATTAAATAAACGGAAACTTCCAGCTACAAAAGTTATTTCAACTTTCCAAGGTTCCCATAGTTCGCAGAAGAAATTGTTCCACGTACTTAAACTTTTCTACCTCTTGTCTTGGCCTAAAAGTCATCAACTTCTTGGGAAAGGAATTTAACTTGGAAAAGGAATTTTTCTGGACCACACACCCTTGCAAGGCTACAGTAATTGCTTTTTAATCTTGTTTCTTCTGGGCATTGCTGCAACAACCGTCCTGTGCAGTTAAACAAACCACAAGGGATGGTCACCTCCCAGCTTGGGGAAACGACAGTCGGTATTCATGTAGAAATTCCATGTAAAAAAAAATATAACCTTCCAGAGTTTGCTTTTGAGAGTGCTCTGTTGGCTAAGCCTGTGCCTTAAGGCAGAGCAAAGCCCTTCAGGACAGCAAAGCTGGCCAGGGCAGCTGGGAGAGGCATTTTTGGGCTCCCTGCAAAGCCTCAGCTATCCCACAGCAGGAGCTCTCCCAGAAGTGACAGCTCAATACCGAGAACTGCCACCAACCCACCTAACGAATACACACTTTCAGTTTAAATATATTCACATTCTGATTAACTCTGACCACAGAAGAGATGCAGCAGCCCTTCCACTGCACAAGCCAAGAGGGGAAGGCACATGGGCTCCTTCAGATGAAGGAGCTGCCACATCCTGGTCTTGTCATCACCATTCTTTTAAAACCCTCTGGCCCTAAAGCCACAAGTGTGACCTGCACTTAGCTGTGACCTGCATGAGCAGCTCATGCTCACCCATCAGCCCTCAGTCTCCCCATTCCCACCACACCACCTCAGCGCTCTGAACACTTTGTTTGGACAAGTTTGGCAGCAGGGTCAGGATTCCAGCAGGAGCCACCTTCCCCTTTTCCTTCTCACACTTTCTGTGGCAGATTTTAACGCCACACCCCGTTACCAACCTGAGGTTTTTGAGAGACAACACCAGTTCCCACAAGAAAACAAAGTGCAGGATTGGAGGGCGAGGGAGGAATTCCCTGCTGGGGGATGCTCCTGTTAGAAACGTCAGGATGGGAATCTGAAAGCTGCACCCAGACAGATGTGAGGGACTGGTCATCTCTTCCAAACGAGTCTGTGAACCAGGAACACACCACTGGCTTTTGCACTGCTTCCCTCCCTGAGAGGCCACCTCCTGTAACGCATCCCTTACTCGAGTTTTCCGCTCGCTTTTTAAACGCCAAACAGCCTCTTCCAGCTCCAACAGCTCATCAGATGATTTATGAACGGTGCAAAAAAAAAAAAACAAAACCCCACTCAATTGGCAGGAAAGAGAAAAACCGAGCTCCACCGATGTATTTGCAAATCTGACCTGAACAAAGCAACATATGTTCTCAACAAATTAACAGAAAATAGGGAGGGAAATTGAGCTAGACCTTCCACAAAAAAGCAATAGTGCTGCTGGAGCTGCAGAGAAATCCCATGCTCAGGAGCAAGGAATCACTGTCAGCAGAAAGGACCTTCTCCAAAGGCACAAAGACCCCACTGTATCTTGTTCAAAAGGGAT